TAGCCCAGGCTGGCCTCGAACTCACAGAGATCCGCCTGCCTCTGCCTCCCGAGTGCTGGGATTAAAGGCGTGCGCCACCACCGCCCGGCTCTTTTTCTTTTTTTAATATTATTGTATGTGTATGGGTGTTTTGCCTGCATATATGTCTGTGTGCCAACTATATGCTTAGTGTCCTTGGAGGCCAGAAGAGGCCTTAGATCCTTTGGGACTAGAGTTACTAGTGGTTGTGACCTCTAACTCAGATTCACCTGCCTGCTCCGTTGATCTCAATTAAGATTATTATTTTATTTATTTGTTGGTTTTTCAGGACAGGGTCTCTGTGTGGACCTGGCTGGTCTTGAACTCACAGAGATCCACTTACCTTTGCCTCCCATGTACCACTACGCCCAGCTTAGATTTATTTTTAGTCTCCCCCACCCCCAAGCTGAGGACTGAACCCAGGGCCTTGCACTTGCTAGGCAAGTGCTCTACCACTGAGCTAAATCCCCAACCCCTATTTTTAGTATTCTTATTTGCATGTGTGCGAGCGCACGAGAGAGAGAGAGAGAGAGAGAGAGAGAGAGAGAGAGAGAGAGAGAGAGAGAGAGAGACACATGTCCAGAAGATAGTGAAGAAACCCTGATGTAGGCGCTGGGACTCGGCTGAGCCACCCTCCAGCTGACAGTCAAGCATCTTGTACGGTGTCTCTGTGGGAATCTGTTAGTAAGATGCCATTCTCGCTGGGTTTTTATTGGCAGTGCTGGGAATTGAACCTAGGGCCTTGCACTTGCAGGTGCTCAACCTCTGCTCCATCCCAGGCCCTCCTTCGTTTTTTTTTTTTTTTTTTTTTTTTTTTTTTTTTTGGTTTGTTTTTTGTTGTTGTCGTTTTTATCTTTTTATTTTGAGGCAGGCTCTCACTGAATGACCTGGTCCATCTTTAAACTTGGCAGTCCTGCCCCAGCCTCCCAAGTAGCTAGGACTGCAGTCTTGTACCATCAGGTCCAGCTTCTCCCATCTTCCCAGGGTGTCTGTGGGCCTAGGTCACTAACTGAGGAAATGGTCTGGTGTGGTTCTCCTCTGTACAGTGTCCCCTCCCTCTACCCTACTGTTTGAAAGGCAGTCAAATGGTGTGCAGCCACACGAGGGTTAGGAAGTCGTGTTCTCCTCAGGGCAGAAGATCTCATATCAGTTAGGCTGAGTTTTGTATGGTTGGCATCTTCTTCCCCTGTTCATTCGTTTATATTGATCTGGACGCGGTTTTTGTTATCCTTTGAGCTGTAGTCGATGTGGCTATTTCTTTTGTTGCTCAGGAACTTCAGTTCTCTCCTCCTCAGCACCATCTTTCAGACCACGATTGACAGGAGCCTGGCGGGGGCAGAAAAGGTCCCAGAATCCAAGCTGCCAACCCATTATCCTCCCCAGAATGAAGGGCAGAGAGGAAGCAGGTTGAAGAGACCTGTGTGCCTGGCAGTCCCCACCCCCCAGCTGTCATTGAGCCGCTGAGAGTGAGCCCCTCAGTGCACTGCCGCAGGAGACTGCTCCCATGAGTCTAGTCACGGATGGGGCTGTAAGCAGCTGGGAGCGGCTGGCTGCAGGGAGCCTTGGTCCAAAAGGCGTTCGTGCTGTGGGCCAGGTCAGCACAGGGCTGGTTTCCCAGTGCCTTGCACTTGGACATTCTCCTCTTGTGCCTGCTGCTAATGCTTGCTCTGCCTCTAGCTCAGACCTGGGCCAGGCCATCTGGGTGGGGGTATCAACCGAACTATCTTGTGTTTTCATTGGGACACCTCCAAGCCCTGGTCCCCCCTGCCCAGTCTCAGCTAAGCCCAAACTGTTTTAGATCTTAGTTTCTTGGGTGCTTCCTTGTTCCCCAGACTAAAGTCCCAGGAGGCAGACTGAAATCAAATCCCCTGGCACTGTTCCCTCCAGCCCAACATCTGGCCCCCTGGGGACCCACCGGCAGGCCTCCCTTCTCCGCCTCGGAAGCTAATGTGAACACCTACACACTGGTGTCTCTGGAGGGACAGCTCCAGTCAGCACTTCCAGGCCTGTGAGGCCAGAGGGCAGGGCAGAGGTTAGGCTATGACTGTTGTATGCCTTAGGCAGTCAAAGGACACCCACCACTTTGGCCCTTCTTGGCCCCTCCTTGCTTTGCCAGACTCCCAACCCTGGGAACTCAGCTGTGGGTGCTCGGCCAGGCCGTCAGCAGGGCAATTAAAATATGGTATGGCTTCCAGTAGGGTTAATCACAGCTGCGTCCACAGAGGTGCCTTTCTCTGAGGAGCTTCAGACCCTTATCGGGCATGATCTCACTCTTCTTCTGGGATCCCCACCCTGGAGTGCTACCAAGAAGCTGGGAGCCAAGCACAGGATGATTGAGCAGAGGGTGAGGGCAATACCGGAAGAAGCCCAGGTTGCTGCCACCCACCTGGGCAGATAAGGAGTGTTTGCTCTGGCAGAGAATAGGGGCCTTTATTCAATGTTCAGGAGAGGCCAGCCTGCCGTGAGCCAGGTGCTCCTAAACACCGTGTCAAGACTGGCCATGCCAGGGCCTGCCCTGCAGCCCACATCCAGCATGGCAGAGTGACGTCTATGGCATGCGGACTTTGCTAAGCCCACCCAATGCCCTTTAGAACTTGAAGAGCACCAGGCGGTGGTGGCGCACGCCTTTAATCCCAGCACGCGGGAGGCAGAGGCAGGTGGAGCTCTGTGAGTTCGAGGTCAGCCTGGGCAACAGAGTGAGTTCCAGGAAAGGTGCCAAAGCTACACAGAGAGACCCTGTCTCAAAAAACCAAAACCAAAAAAAAAAAAAAGTTGAATAGCTGTTACTGCAGGGACACCTGGACCCAGCAGGCTGCCTTGGATGAGTGAGGAGGAGATTCCAAGCCATTGGGATAGTGGGGAAGGGTGGAGAACCAGGGGAGAAGAATGCCGTGTGGTGTGGGGCCAGACCAGGGAATTTGGACTTTCAGGGAAGAGCCTGGGCCAGACTGCAGAAGTTTTTAAGGAAAGTAAGGTTTTTTTGGACAGTTGGTTCTGGCAGCAGCTGGGGGCATGTGGTCCGAGAGAGACACGGGCTGGGTTGATCCAGGTTGAAGGTTTGGAGGACCTGAACTGAAGCTGGGGACAGAATGTGGGAGAGACAGATCCTGTGTGGGCCTGTGGCCAGGAGGAAGTGAAAGACAGAGGAGGAGGAGGTTGCTGGAAAGGCGGGGTGGTAGCATGCGCAAGGAGCCAGGAGGAACCCACATTGCATTGTTGAGCCACCACCCGGCCTGCAGCCCAGGAGGCAGAGGCTGGCGGACGGACATCCCTCCTCCCTGCCTTGCCCTACCAGATCGTCAGACCAGCTGATGTGGTTTCACAGCCTCATTCCTCCCCCTACAGGCTCCTGGAGGCACAGCCACTTCCTCCAAAGGGGGAATGGGTGTAGTTTGAAGGTCCCCAGTTCTATAGGTCAACCCCTTGGCACACCTCACTCAGATAGACATGTGAGGCCTCTTAGAAACTAGGAAGTGCCGGGCGGTGGTGGTGCACACCTTTAATCCCAGGGCTTGGGAAGCAGAGGCAGGCGCATCTCCGTGAGTTCGAGGCCAGCCTGGTCTCCAAAGCGAGTTCCAAGAAAGGCGCAAAGCTACACAGAGAAACCCTGTCTCAAAAAAACAAAAACAAACAAAAAAACAAAAAGAAAAGAAAGAAAAACTAGGGAGGAAAAAACTAGTCACTGAAGGTAGAGACCATGTCCTCCCTGGGCATGAGGGGACAGGAGAGGCTCGCCCGACTATCAAACCCACATGGTAGTAGCCCCTAGAGTCCAAGTGCCTCCTCTAAGTCTGGCCCACCGGAGTCTTTGCCCAACTGTGTGATCTTGAGCCAGTGGTTTTCCTGTGTTAAGAATTAAGTTCCTGGCCGGGCGGTGGTGGCGCACGCCTTTAATCCCAGCACTCGGGAGGCAGAGGCAGGCGGATCTCTGTGAGTTCGAGGCCAGCCTGGGCTACCAAGTG